AAAATGTTCTGTTAGTATTATTCTTTTAAATAAAAAAATAAAAATAAACATTAAAAATAAAGTTTATACATACTGTCAAAAACTGTCTCTACCATTCTTTTTGCCGGGGACTGTATATCTACATATGGAAAAGATTTCAAGTTTCTTGGCCGTAAAGAAATAAAAGAATGACTTTGGAATGGAACTTTGGATAAGAATAGTGTTAAAAAACGTTACTATGCATTGCTGAACAATATTAAAGACTGTAATTTCCAGCCAATTCCATTTATTGCAGCAGGACCCAGTACTGAAAAAACTCGAGTATTGGAAGAAAGTTTGAATATGTTGCAACAATGCGCAGAAAATGATAGTGATTCTGATTTGAAAAAACTGGTAAATAATGCTGTGTTGATTAATGTTACCTATGGGAATGGTAGTGCTGCCTCTATAACAGACAGTAATATTAGTGGTGAAATAAGTTTGTCATTACAGATTCTCTATCGATACTTTGTGGAAGGAGTTTCTGATTTAGAATTTCGTCACTTTGTTGATATTATAAGAAAATCTTTTCCCAACATTTTGACTTCAATCTAACAGAAGAGGAGTTAAGAAAGCTGTGCAGGGAGAAGTAGGAGTTACTACTGCTATTGATGCACCAGCCGGAGGCATAATGGCAGTTGTGGCAAAGCCAGTAGGAAAGGCAGTAGAGGGAATTGGTGAAGCTGCTGGTAGCGAAGAAGTCAGAATCTAACAATAGTTCTCAGTACCATCACATTAGATATTAATAAAGAAAAGGTCATGATTATCAACTGTATAGATGAAGTTAACAATTTATATGAATTAGAAAATTCAACTTTTGAGACTATGGTAAAAGCTTTTGGTTCATCATGTTGTGTATATGGTTCAATTTTTTATGTACCTTTACTTTCTGAAACAATTTACAAACCCTTGCATAATATTGTCACAAAGTCTATGCATTCTCTTTTACCTATTCCTCTTCCGCTATTGGGGATGGACTATATGCTAGAAATTGGATAAAGTTTGCAGTTTCCAGTTAACACAAACCATCATTATCATCGATATCTTGTTGATATTGGTAGTCATTGTCGAACATTGGAATTCTTTTATCAGCGATGCTCTAATTACATTGTCAACACTATTGATTTTCTACAGGTTATGACTGATGTTTATGTATTATTAAAGGAACGTTATGCATTTGAGGAATTTGCTCAAGATAATTCCGATATTATTGCTGGTTGCTTGCTAGATGAGGCAATGATTCTTGATGAGAGAATAAAAGAATTAAGACAATATGGAATTGTAATTTTAGTGGAGAATCATAGCAATGGAATGGTATATTTACATTTGCCATATATCATGCTTTGGTGCTTGATGACACTGTCAAACAAGTCAAATAAATTATATCAATTCTGGAAATCAATGATTGAATCTTCTGAATTATTTTACTGGCAAAATTGGGAAGACTTTTTTGGCATTAAAATTTTGTTTACTCTCTGTTTATGGCTATAAAGAAATTAACGGATGTGATTTTTTAAAAGGTGCGTATTGTGGTGATATGCTTAAAGACATTATCATAAAGATTCCGGAATGGAATTCTATTGAAGTTCATTTTATAAAAGAAAGGTTTCCAACAAATGGTACTTGGACAGTCACAAATCTATATTCTAATGAAAAGCTTTTAATAAAGGAGAAAAGTCTTGCAGTTTACAAAAATGGAGAGTCAGCACCATTTGATGGGTTTAGTTATATTCAACTTAAAACTACCAACAGCAAGGATGTAATTATGGCTTGCTTACAGGCTAAATGGAGAAAATTAGAAACTGCACAACCTCAGAAGATTACGGATAGTATGATTAAAAAAGAATATGATTCTACAAAAAAGGCACTTGCTGATAACCTTAATCTCCAAAATTATGACTTCATTTTTGTTTTATTATCGATATGTCCATTGAGTAATGAAATAGATAATCCCTCTACTTTATTAAAAGATTTCAAAAATGCCGCTTAATATGCAAGAACAATTTTCGTACCTTTTATGGTTTACTTATGCAACACGGACTCATTTAGCTGCAGGTTGATTTCTTTTTGACTTTTCTTCAAATAACTGATTTATTTATTCTAACAATAGAACAAGAAAAAGTTAATATTAATACAGCTGATATTTGGGAATTAAGATTAATAAAAGGAGTAGGAGAACAGTTAGCAGACGATATTTCTCTAATGCGTAAAAGGAAACGTTTTGATAATGAAGATGATTTATGCAAGCGCACAAAATTTCCAAAACTTGCCGTGTCATCGGTTATGTTTAAATGATTTTTCGTTGCATCAAAATTAAAAAAGATAAGTTACTACAAATTATTATTTTTGTTTCTAATTTACAGAGGGTGGACAAAAGTATCCGCACACTTTTTCACTCAATATAAAACTTATAATTATTTTGCATTAACAATAAA